TTCCTCATATCTTGCAAACAATAGACTGACAAAACACTACACGTTAGCCTCAGTTACTAGACTGGAAGGGGACGATCATAACCATCTTCACTGCTCTTGTTGAACACCCTACAACAATTTACTTATGGTAGTTAGTCCAATACTTAAAACTGTCTCCTGCAACTATTTTTAAAAAATTGTAGGATAAACTATCCAGCCTCACACAAGTCAAGGGAGGGAAGGGAAGCAAAGAATGCCATCCTCCAGGTGGGACCTGGGGATTCCCTGGAATTACAAGTCATCTCCAGACTACGGAGATCAGTTCTCCTGGAGGATATGGACGCTTTGGAAGATGGACTCTATGGCAGTGTATCCCACTTAGCTCCCTGTCCTTCCCAGGTTCCATCCCCAAATATCTCCAGAAGTTTCCCAACTTGGATCTGGCAACCCTACCCTCTCATTCCTGGCCAGGGAGACCTGGCAGTCCTATATGAAGGACAGGTAGGAAGTAATTTGGGGTACATATGCAATAATTTGAGCATCGATTCTTATAATTGGACGTGTTAAAGTGTGGCAGAAAGATGTAATTTGCCCCATTGTTTCAATATATATGTTTTATGTGGAGAGGGATGTAACAGCATTAGACCTTGTGCATACATACTGAACAGAATGATTGTTATTCCGAATTAATTAATTAATGTAGAGGAAAACAGTATACTGATATTATTTGAAATAGTGAATTACTGAAACTGAGTATTATATTAAAAAGTCCAATATTATTTCATCATCAAAACAGTAGTTTCCCTCTTTCAGACTGCTAGTTCAGGTCACATGTACTGGTGTATAAAATATTGTCCAGTGTTCATTGGACAATCCATGGATCAAGACTCAATCTGATGCATAGCCTGAAAGGGGAGAGAGTCCCATTCAATGACTCAGTTGAGCAAGACCAAATTTCAAGATCATTCCTATGTCATTCCTATGCATCTAAGCATCACCAAAAGACTAATATTGTTGGAAATAAACTATGCACCTGTTTAAAATGAATAAGAATTAAATAACTGTTCATTACTGCATTCAAAATAAGACAGCAGATTTACCCTCAGAATTGTATTGTTAATACAACAGCAAGAAGACTGCTTTCAAAGCTAGTGATTCAAACTCATGCAGACTAGGCAGGTGGAATCAATAAAATGCACCAAATAATTCCCCCTTCTCTATGCCACTGCTCAAAAAGGTGTAAAAAGATACAATTCACATAGCAATTTTAGTGCTGATACATGTTTGTGCAACATTATACATTTGTATGTATTTTCTGCTTCCCTGAGTGTGTCCTTTTGAATTACTATCTTTAAAACCAATTTGTTTGCAAACTGAGATGCCTCCCAGGGAAGCCAAGGCTGATTTCTCAAAGGTATGTGGCAAGGTGTGCTTTCTCTGCTACTCATGCAGTTCTGCTATATGCACGTTTGTAACAAAGAAAAGAGCCCATGTTGGAATACCCCTCTATAGTGCTTTCTCCTATAGAGCCATCATGGGTCTGTTGGGTTTTTACACCTCTTTTCAGAGGTCTCTTTTCACAGGCTGTCCCCACAGAACATCCAAACTGTTCTTTAAACTTAGCCGTCAATGTACTGGTTGTTTTAACTACCTCCTAAATGTCGAGGGGGGATTCGCCGTGGATGACTGCTAAATGGGGTTAACATATTTTGAAAAGCAAAAATGAGGACATATTTCAACTCTGACAACTTCAAACAAGTGATCACTATGACAAATCTCATTTTAAATACCCTGGCTACATAAGTTCATTTTAAATACCCCTAACTATTCAAGCTTCCAACCCAAAAAGAGGACATTTTCATCAGTTTTTTTTAAAGAGCCCAAAAGACGATAGACATCAAAGAGAGAGAGAGAGAGAGAGAGAGAGAGAGGAAATGCCCTCTAAAAAGAGGACATCTGTTAACCCTACTGTTGAAACTAGGGTTGTCATTTGTCTGGGGACGGGGGCTGGGACTCCTGACCTTGGGCTCCAAGCCCTGATTGGTTCCTTTGCTGTGGCAAGAACAAGAATGGAAGGTGTGGAGCAACATTGTGATGGAGCAACACTCTAAGAATACCCCAAATCTCTAAGGTTTTTACCATAGAGATTGGGGAATTCCTGGAGCCTCTTGACTAGAGTTCTGGTTACAACTAGAAGTGACATCACACCATGTCACTCCACCCCCATTTTTCTCCAGCTGGAGCAAAGACAGTGCCTGGCAACCCTAGCAGAAAAAGGAAACAACATGCAATTTTGCCTGGTCGGGGAGGGGGGGTGTCACAAAACCATCAAGTTGTTCTTCGCCCATGCCATTGGAACATAATGCTCAGTCAGTGTCTTCAAAGCACAATCTGTGGGTGCTTCAGGGCCTGGTCAGAAAGGCTAATGCAGAAGAAAATTCAAGTACATACACAGATTATGGGTTTCGAGGTTCACAAGCCTGTTGACAAGTGTCAAGTGTTGCCTCTGTATTGCCACAGCAGCACAGGTATGGATGGCATACAGATGTGTAACACATCTTTAGCCACCATGTATATGCATGTGACAAAAGCAGGCTGAGCTACACACATTTGCACAGGTTTTAAAATTGTGTATACATGTTAATGTGTGATATGTAACTGTAATAAACACATTTTGTAGAGCTCAGCTATATTTAAAAAACCCTTTGTCCAACTAGCAAGCTAAGCTTGAGTTATGAGAATTCAAACTGAGGCTGATCAGTCTCACAGGGTTGCTGCAAAGATACAGTGGAGGAGGGGAACCCAAGTATGCCCCCCCCCCGAGCTCCTTCATGGACCAAAAATGGAGGGGGGGGAACCAAGTCTGTTCCTCAGCCAAAATCAGTGCTATTATCTCTACATTTTATAGTCATATGTTTGATGACTTAACAAATGAATGTGTGAACTGAATCTGTTGAAGAATGTGGTGATACACTGGTACTTCTGTAAAAGACTTTCAGCAAGCTTAACTATTAATTAAAATTTGTGAAATTTCATTTCACACCAACTATTAGAAATGCTAACAAAATGCCTCCTACTAATCTCGCAATGCACCTGATTATACATAGTGTACCATTGCTGCTTCTAACATACATTTAATTCAATGATCCAAAAGGTGAAGTATCTTCCTTAAAAGGAAAAGCTAAGGGTTAGAAAACTGTTGACTAAGCAGAAGTATGATACAGGTTGATAAAATTACTCACGAGGAAAAGAACACATATAGCAATAACTTTTCCTCCCTTTCCCATAACACTAGGAACTCACAGGCAGCCAGTGAAGTTGATGGGCAGAAAAAAGGAAGTGCTTCACTCAAAGAGTAATTCACTTGTGGAATTCACTGTGCCACAGGACATTATGGTGGCTTTAAAAGGGAATGAGGTGGCTTCAAAAGGAGATTAGACAAATGTATAGATGACAGGTCTATCAATGGCCATTAGCCGAGATGAATAAATGGAATATGGATGTTATGAGGCATTAATTATCTGAATATTAGCAATGACAGTTCCATGCTGTGTGTGTAGGCCTTTCCAGGGATATTTAATTGGCCACGGTGTGAAACATAATGTTGGAATTCACTGCCACAGGAGGTGGTGGTGGCTACAAGCATGGATGGCTTCAAGAGGGAATTAGATAAACATATGGAGCAGAGATCCATCAGTAGCTATTAGCCACAAGGTATAGATAGGAACTCTGGGGCAAGTGATGCTCTGTATTCTTGGTGTGTGTGTGGGGGAAACAGTGGGAGAGCTTCTAATGTCCTGGCTCCACTGATGGATCTCTTGATGGCACCTGGTATTTTTGGCCACTGTGTGACAGAGAATTGGACTGGATGGGCCATTGGCCTGATCCAATATTGGCTTTTCTTATGTTCCTATGACTGGATACACTGTTGATCCAATCTGGCATAGCTGTTCCTGCATCCTACAGTCATTTTGGAGAGCTTAAAGTACTTCATGTACATTGTCTTGTAGTGATCATTACCAACAACCCTAAGTATTATCATCACACTATTACAGAATGAAGACTGAGGCACAGAGGTATGCCAAGGCCACCAAGCATGTTCATGACACAAGTGTAATTTGAAACAATTCCTAGCTCAGTCCCTTGGTCGATAAGCTACTCCATCCACAAACAAAACAGAGTTATTTTCAGGCAGGTACCACAAAAGAGGGTGGCAAGTAGTGTCAGTGGCAAGAATATATGCAACAATATCTATATTGACCAGAAACAGATCTCCAAGGGCCCAGACAGAGGACTTTCCTGCTTCTACCTGAGTATTTTTTAAAAATTAAACTAGAGAGACCACACATTGACTGTGGACCCCTGGGCATGCAAAACACATGTTCTAACACTGATGTAACATGATATACAGTACAGCTACCCTTTGGACAGACATGCTTTCTCAAAAACTAATGGATTAGATTTTGTAGATTCATTCCACATGAGCATATGAATCTGCTTTATCCTGAGCCAGACCACAGGTCGGTAAAGGTCATGATCATCTACTCTGACTGGCAGTGGCTCTTCAGGGTCTCATATGGAGATCTTTCACATTACCAGCTACCTGATCTGATGAACTGGAGATGCCAGAGATTGCACCTGGGACCTGCATGCAAAGCAGATGTTTTAACACTGAGACATGGCCTTACCCCCAAACTTCCACCAACAGTGGTGCTTTCCTCTGGCCCAAAGTGTCTTCTGCCAATGCAAGAGGTCGACTGTCATTCGAAACTAACCCACTATATTTACATCAAAGCAATTTTCAGTGTGAAGTCAAACAGGCAATGTTGGTGAGCTTCATTCTATCATAATAGTCTGGTACCCAGCTTGTTGCTACAGAAAATAGTGTAAGCAATATTGTTGGGAAGAAAATGAAAATTTGGTTCTGCTATTGCTAGCCATCTTTGCTATTATCACACAGATATTTGAATCAAATATACAATTTTGACAAGCTGAATTTGATAGGTAGCTGCATTATTTACCTTGTCCTGAAGTTCGTAGGATGAGGATGCCCATCATATAATGATAAATAGTCATATTCTTCTTCTAGAGCAAAAGATTGAAATACTATCTGTATTCTATTTCTTTCTTCTGCAATTATTACCCATGTACAGTTTGCACCATTTGGATATCCATATGGGAAGCCGGGGCTTTCTATTGTACCATTAAGTCCTTTTAAAGTTCCACCACATGTATAAATAAATCCTGAAAAACAAAACAAACAAAAGAGTACATTAGAAAGGCACAAACATAAATATACCAGCATGCAAAGTCGTGAATGAAATACCGAACCCAAATTCACATTTTGATTCCAATACAGATGCCCCCTCTGTTGAGCACAGGTCAACCAAGAAGTTTTTAGCCACATGCAACAATAAAATATAAGGCACGAAAACAAAACAATAAGCATAACATAAAAACAATAAAACATCCTAATCCAGTTCATTGACTTGACTATCAGCTGCATGCCTCCCCATCCATTACTGAATAGCCAAACCAAATATTGTAATGCTAGGATACAGTGAAGTTTGTTTTGACTACAGTTGCGGTATAATGGCTAGAGTTTTGGACTAGAAATTGGGAGACCTGGCTTCAAATGCCAGCTCAGAGCAAAACAAGACACATGTTGGGAGTTTCGTGTTCTGTTTAGCTCAACAGGGTGACCAAACTGTCTGGGGAAAATTCAGGCTGGGGAAATGGTGGGGGCGTGAGGCTTGAGACACCTCCCCAGTGTACCACAGGGCTGATCGAAATCAGACCCTTGCAAGCCTTCCAAGTAAATTCTAAACACAGAACTCCCAAGCCATGAAGATCACTGGGTGACCGTGGTTAGTTACTCTTTAGTTCACAGAGTCCTTGCAACTAATATCGAGGATGAGACAATCATCTATGCTGCCCTGAGCTTCATGGAGGAAGAATGGGATAAATACACTAACCTGACACTGAAAACTGCTTCAAGTCATAACATTTGCCACCCCTGGACTATTTTTAGGAATGGCTAAGGCTGCTGCTGTACTCATATCCATATTACTGGACAAAACAAGGACTTGGATCCTGGCAAAAAAAAAAATCTGCAGATAGAAGCAATTCTGTCCACAGCCTCCTCACCTCCCCATGCAGACCCAAATGCTGCTGCTTGGGTGGGGCAGTCTGAGGTCTGTCACAGATGGGGGGGGGGTGTCAGCAAAATTGTTTCCCATTCTGTCCATGAAACCTTTAGCCGGGATCCAAGCCCAGGTCTTTCTTACCATGGCAAATCAACATAAAGAACAAAAAGGGTCGACCCAACTGGAGCGAAGAGATGAAGGGGGGGGGAATATGGTGCAATGGGAAGAAAAATTTATTCCAAAATATTAATAACCTCCTCACACATTTCCTGTTAAGCTTCTTCAGGGAGACTGAGTCATATGTTTAAAAAATGAAAGAGAAAAGACAAAAGTATCTGTCTCTCTTTATTTTATAAAAAAATCATGTCCTTTGTATATGCTCAGAAGTTCTGTCTTTTTAGACATATTATTGTTTTGGTATGTTTTAACAAATAGTTAAGAGAACCAGTAAAAAGATCTTTGTTAACCTTCCCCCCCCCTTTTCTCTTTCATTTTTTAAACCAGTGTTTGTCATCCCCTTTTTGTCATCCCAGCTAATGGGTCTCATTTCCTTGTTGCTCTAAGATCAGGGCATTGCATTTTGCGAGCCTCCCTAGCTCACACAATTTAAATTCTAACTGAACCCAACCATCTCCTCTCCTTATGGAACTGTGAAGGATAGTGCAGTACATCTGTTTCCCCCCTTGTAAAGCTAACACTGTGAAAACTGTTTTCTTCCAGTCCTGTTGGTATGATGAGCTGAGAGCTCCACTGGGGCTATACCTTAAGTCCACTTCAAAAACACAGGTTAGAGCAGAATGCTGTGACCTAGTTGTTAAATAGAGTTTTCCAAGTAGAAAGTGGAGCACATTACACCGCTGAACACTGGATACTAATAGGTTCCTTAAAGTGTTATTATTAAGGAGTAAAACCCTAAACAGTTTGAAACCTGATTGCCAAAGAGATTGCCCTTTTCTTCACGCAGTACCCCTGCAGTCAAGATAAACAATTATTAACTCTTAGGACAAGGAAAAGACCGTAGAGTTTTCACAAGGAGTCAGGCCTTGACATTGCCATTTGGCCCCCACTTTCTCAGTCCACTATAGATCGAGCTTACAAAGCTACCTCCGTGTGACATACAAATCCCTTGATTGGCTTTCTTACTCAATATTATTGAGTATCTCAGGGTGGAACTACAGATAGTGCATAATTAAAGACCGCAAGCTAAGCTTTCCTGCCACTTCACATCTTTTAGAGCACAATACGTTTCAACAGCAATCTCTGTGTTATTCATTTATTTTTTATTTACAAACCTTAGATCCTGCCTTTCTGCCCAATCAGAGCCACTGTGGCTGTTACCGGGTAAAAGCACAATATTATAAAACACATAGCAAAAAAACACAACACCCGCCAACTTTGTGTGTTTTGGCTAGGGTTGCCAGGTCTGATCAAGGGGCCAGTAGGGGACTGGGGAGCATTTGAGAAGTGGACAGAGACATCACACAATGTGCATACATCACCCGGAAGTGCCGTAGGCACACCAGCGACATTGGGAGTGACACTCTGTTTTTGGGCAAAACTCTATGGTAAAATCATCCTCAAACCATAGAGTTTTGCCAAAAAAAACCCCAGAGCATCACACCCCCACGTCACTGATGCACCTACGTCACTTCCGGGTGATGTCAGTGCATCACACATGATGTCACTGTTTGGGAGGTGGGGGGATTTCCTCCTGCCAGCCAGCTGGCTGCCAGCGGGCAGGAGCCCACAAAAGGAGGGAATACCTGCCCCATCTGGGGAATGGTAACTCTAGTTTTGGCCTTCAAGTTGCAGCAGACTTAGGGCAGCCCCATAAGGTTTTCAAATCAAGAGATGTTCAGAGGTGGTTAGCCATTGCCTGCCTCTGCATAGCAACCCTAGATTTTCCTCAGTGGTCTCCCATGCAAGTGCTGACCAGGGCCAACCCTGCTTAGCTTCTGAGATCTGACAACCTCAGGCTAGCCTGGGCTATCCAGGGCAGAACAAAAGTGAAATACATACATAAAAACACAGAACCATAAATGAGAATATAGCATTGATTCCTTTAATTTAATTATTTAAACCATTTGTAATGTACCCTTCTACCTTGAATCAAGATGAAAGGGGCAGCTACCAAGGCATGGACAATTGACTCCTGTATTGCCCTCTATTGGCAGTGCTGGCCACCTGTAGGAGTCAGAGGCAGGCTATAGGGCCCTCCTCCTTCCTTCTCCGCTATACCCAAGCATAGTAGAGAAAGGGGGGGAAGAACACTCTGTCCCTGTATGATTTTCTCCAGTTTGCAATGCTTTAGACCACGAAAGGGGTAGAACTGGTTTTCCCATAGACCTTTCAACTCTACCCACATTTGCAGACTGTCAGACTAGCTGAAGGGGTGGGGGTGGGGTGGCTTTCAAGACTACGCAGGCAGTTGAAGTGCAATTATATGAACACTTACCTGGGAACATTAAACATGCACTGTGATAATTACTTCCAAGTAAACATACAATGAATTACATTGATGATCCTTTTAAAAAAAATAATAATAATCCCTATTCGTATTCTTTAAAATGTGGGTAGCAGTGGTAGCTGTAAAAGTAATTTTAAAAGGGAATGCCGTGTCTCAAAAATTGACAACAAACTGTCTGGCAGTTGCTGTTTGCAGTATCCAAAAAGGATCTTGCATGAGAATTCTGTATTGGCAATGGTAGATGTCTCACAACTCTACAATGTACCCTTTCTACTCTGATGCTGGAGCACATAATGGGGTCTCTAATCCCACCTCTAATTCTGTCTTTGACTCATGGAAGGTTCCTGTGAAAGCATGACATCATCACACTGGAGAAAACACAAATATGAAGAATATCAAAGTTTTAAATCCAGAATGGGAAGATGTTTTGCAGTCACTCTTTAAGGAGGCAAACTCCTGCTATGGCTTAGCTGCATACTATGCCTTAGCTTCCTCAGGCATCACAGAGGAAAGGCCATTGTGAAACAAATCTCAGAAACTGATCCAGGAGGGTATTCAGCTGTGCACCTTAAAATCAGGCCTAAACATGCCTAAGCAACCCACACATATTACTTTCAGCATTCGGTAGAGACACTGACCAAAGAGCAGGACCCAGTTTTTGTTCTGACACAGAATATTGCTTGTGCCAAATGTCTGAACTCCGATAGAGAATTTCTCAATAATTATATTTCAAATGTAGGTGTAGAGCCCAAAGAACATCTGTAAAACGGAGCTCTTTCGCCAGGCTTTTGAGTAGGAGTCGCCGCCACCACTATTCCATCTTCGTCATTTTTACACCATCGCACCCACCACCACCATTCATGTGGGTACCATCGGGGTGCGACACGACCCTGGATTGAGAAGGGATGACAGTGCTAAGTGAAACGCCACTGCGTGGATTCCAGTCACATCATAGGCGTAATCTTCGTGGGGGCGGTGGGGCTTCAGCCCCCGCCGAAATTTTCAGGAAAGTGCTCAGCCTCCCCCGGGAGTAGAGATTGGATTTATACCCCGTCCTTCACTACCTAGAGGTGTCTCAGAGCGGCTTACAAACTCCTTTCCCTTTCCCTCCCCACAACAGACACCCTGTGAGGTAGGTGGGGCCGAGAGAGCTCTTGACAGAAACTGCTCTTTTTCAAGAACAGCTCTTATCAGAATTACAGCTTGCCCAAGGTCATCCAGCCAGGTGCAAGTGGAAGAGTGGGGAATCAAACCCGGTTCTCCCAGATTAGAGTCCACGCACTTAACCACTGCACCTAACCCTGAGCCCTCGGGGAGGATGGGGTATAAATCTAAGAAATAAATAAATAATTATAAAATCCAGTATTGCAACATACAAGAGTGATGTGTCTCCCAAATCAGAACAGATGATGTAAATAAGGTAGAATTCTCCAGCATTTAACCACACTGTAGATAGATCCACACATATGCAGAATAGACTTGAATTTGCAAACTTTGTTCACCGTGTTTCATTAGTTATAACTGTAAAAGGAAATGTTGGACTTGGCAGCACTAAAAGAAAATAACGCATGATGCTGATGTAAAGAATGTACTTGACAAAGCATTAACAGATGCCAGTGTACCACTGGATA